ACCAAAGAGCACACATATCGATAAGGCTCCACCCCTGAACATATTTCAACTGCCATATTTGACATCAGGACATGCGCCACCTAGTGGGAACAGGAAATGTTATGTTTTACACTTTGGGGTACAGTATAGTGATGGGTGACATCTGCAGCCTCAAATTTCTCCAGGAAAGCCTTAAGGAGTTGGTCTTGGGTTACAGTGAAAACTGTGACGTTTTCGCGAAAGGGTGTGACCCCAGCAGCATGGCGAACTTTGATGTCATCGCCATGAAGAAACAAATTAGTATAACTCAATGAAATCCAGTCTGATCAGTACCAGACTTTACAGGCATGATGTCAGACCCGCCCTGAACAGATTGATGTGCCCATTGTCGGAATACGGACGAGCGCCACCTAGTGGCAACAGGAAATGTCATGTCTTTCATCTTTGTTGTACTGATTTTCACAGGTTCATTCGTGGCCACCTCAAAAGCGGTGAATATCACCATCAGTGCTCCATGATGCTTCGTGCGAAAATTGTGACTTTAAACTGAACGGCGCACCCTGGTGGCAACGCGGTTCACCGTGAACAATGAAGTGGCGTTTGAGGGGCTTGGAAAGTTTAAAAAGTCTTGAAATTTGGCCCACACCTCCAATGGGACGAAGGCTTTGTTGTTATGTGATCACCTTCCTTGAATAGCGCAAAATGGCTCCACAGCGCCCCCTACAAACTTTCAAATCATCAGCCCCTGCTCTGTGTTTTATGTATGAGTCTGAAATCTGGGAAGGTTATAGGAGAGATCAAGATGTACAAAAAAAGTCTCTTGGAGCAAAATCCCAAATCCAACAGGAAGTCAGCCATTTTAAAATGAATGTGTAATTTTGGCGACATTTTCCCCTCTTTTCAGGCACCGTTCTTTGACAACTCCTCCAAGGGATTTCATCAGATTGATCGATTTCCTGTGTGTGGAATCTAAAGACCTTTGTGATGTTAAATTGCGAAGCTTTTTACGTTCAGGGAAACGGGGTGGTCATGGCGGCACTGTGAGTTTCAATCACTCGCCAAAAAGCAGTAATCTGCTGTCACTCGAAAACACAATGTCCAATCTCTCCCAAAGGTCGTAGGCATGATTAGACTCGAGCTCGGATATGTTTGTTATGCCATTTGTACATAATGGTTAGAGCGCCACCTAGTGGGACGACTATAATCCTGGTTGAATAAGATGAAATGTTAGCTGGTGGTTAAATGCATGAAATCCATCAATGTGACATCAGATCGGAGGTGCTGGTTTTAGGTGTTGGCCGTGGCTCGACGCGCCAGGGGTGCGAGGGCCCTCATAACGTTGCTTGCAGCTTTAATTTTATTTATCCTCATCTGATAAAGCATCTGAGCAGGGGGTGCTCACAGGGATCATTTGATAAGAAACAAGACTGACGTGACGTGTCAAATACCTTTTTTTATGTGAGCCTGAAGCAAAGAGCCCGGCTTAACAGAGAAGGCTGGTAATCACGATACCTGTTATCTCTGACTGGAGTTTCAGATTTTAGTCCAGGAAGTCAGGATATATAGAACTTTAGTTCATAGTTAGCTACAGAGCTAATATAAAATCATCAGCACAGGAAGCAGGAGGGTAAGGGTTAAACTGTTCCCAGTAAAGATCACGCTGGGTGAAGGATGGAGACAAACACCATTGTAGGACAGGAAGAAGCTTAAAATGACGCAAACGTGTCCGTCCACAGCTCGAGGTCAGTCACTAATCTGCTGCTGCCTGGTTTGAATGACTGTGACAAAATCCTGATCCTCAGTGTCGTGTCCAGAACGAGGGGAATTCTTTGGAGTCCAGGACACAACTTCTCTGCTGCTGGGTTAAGGTCAGACACTTTCTAATAAACAGTTCTGAGAGCACAACAGGAGCCAAGAGTACAACTCAATAAAGTTTCCACGAACACAGAAAATAATGAACCAGCTCCCTGAAATCTATAATCTCAGACGGTTTCCACTGAGCACCAATTATGTTCTCTTGACAAAAATAGACTTGTGAAAAGATTCATTTGTACATATGTTATATCTGTTTTCTCTGTCTCTCTTCATGCTCATGTATGGGAAGAGCTCAACAGTGTTTCCACAACAAACACAACAGAATCCTTCTCAGCTCTGCTTCCCCACCACTCTTCATCCTACCCGTCAACACACTTCCAAACACCAGCAGCATTTAGAAAAACAGCACGAGGCCTCTGCTCTTTGTTTAAGTAGTCTGTCTTTTGCTGGAAGCTTCGTGGTACAGTGTTAACGCCCACATTTATTCAGACGAATACTGCTTAACTTCTCAAAAGTAAGAGCATGTTGGTCTGTCCAGGCCAGGTTAGATATGCATCCGACTGCCACCATCACAGATCTGTTTAATCTGCCTATCAGCCAACCAGCCTCGTCCGTTTAGACTTGTCCTTGACATTTTGGGGCATAAAGCTCCTTTCGGTTATAGCCTGAAAAATATTTGTTGAGTCTTGGTGGAAAAACCTTTCCAGAGTCTGTGTGAACATTTGTGTTGAATTTGAGGCGTTGAACACCTTCAAGGGTGATATAACCAGGATTAGCAATCATCAGGGTTCACTTGTACTGTAACCAGTCAAGTAGAGGAAGAAGGTTTGTTGTCACTCGTTGGCTGTTTTGCACAAACTAACAATGGGAATTATAATCCATTAAATAGAGGATTAGAGTAACTCTGCAAATAGTCTGAGGGTAAATTAATCTCATTTTCACTGACCGACAGTGAAGACGAACTGTGAAGGAGTGGAGAGACAATGCTGGTACCTCAACGCTGCACGAGGTCATCGTTCGTTCGTCTCGATGAGCTAAAAGTCACACTCAGCTAAACAACCATCAAGATTTTTTTTCCTACAGATGGCATGTAAACCAGCCGAATTCTTCTCAGTTCCTATTAATCAACATTTTTCAGATTGGAAGCCAGTCCAACCTACATAATGACTGAAAACACAACACATCATTTATTATAATCAAACCCAAGTGCCGATGACATCGTACCACCTCTGACTCAGTCTAACAAGTCTTTGGGGAAATTACAGTGAAAGAAATCATTATGTGATGAAAGTTTTCCCACAAAGAAAGAAATGGTTTCTGGTTCATTTCAAAGGAGACAAAATATTCTGCATTAACTCGAAGCTTCAACTCTCACCACAGACTTTTCATCGACCTGAGGACAGGAGACTGGTGAGGACGGTGCATAATACCTCATTCTGGATCTTCGTCTTTAGCTGGTCCTTTGTTCTCTTAGTGCTATGTTTAAGGTCTTCCTGGAAAACCCACCCACAACCAATCTTCAGCATTCAGGCTGAGGGGATGAGGTTCTGGTCCAAGATTTTAATGGTACATGGCCCTGTGCTTTGAAGACACAGGGCCTGTACACTCAGAAAAACGACTTCAAGCAAGTTTCCACTTCCATGCCCAACGGTGGGGATGCTGTTCTTTGGGTCATACGGCGGGTAGAGCTCAGTTCCATTTTGGTTTCATCATACCACAGCACTTGCTCACCCGGCTTTCCTGAATCATTTAGATGTTCACTGCAAACGTCAGATGGGCCTGCTTGAACATTTAAGTCCAATTTCTGAATACTCAAACTCAATGCCTCACCAAGTTCATGGTGGTCGTCTTTTACTTCATTCCAGCCTTGGGCAGGTCTACGGTGGGAACCGGAATTCTAGCTGGGTTGTAAAGGCTCAAATACTCATTTCAGCCAATAACATGACATCAGTTTTGTCTAATGTGTTTCTCTAGATTTTTGGTTGATATTCTGCGTCTCTCCATTCAAATGAAATTCTAAAAGAAAGACTGCTGATTTCTTTGTGAGTAAACTTCAAGGTTCACCAGGGGGCAGGGATGGTTTCCCTTTTTATTGATCGTGGCTCAAGAGTTGGGAGTTCGCCTTGTAATCGGAAGGTTGCCGGTTCGAGCCCCGGCTCGGACAGTCTCGGTCGTTGCGTCCTTGGGCGAGACACTTCACCTGTTGCCTACTGGTGGTGGTCAGAGGGCCCAGTGGCGCCAGTGTCCGGCAGCCTCGCCTCTGTCAGTGCCCCAGGGTGGCTGTAGCTACAATGTAGCTTGCCATCACCAGTGTGTGAATGTGTGTGTGGATGACTGGATATGTCAAGCGCTTTGGGGTCCTTAGGGACTATTAAAGCGCTATATAAATACAGGTCATTTACCATTTTTATTGATGATGGTGATTTCTGAAGCCAAAACAATAAAAACAGCGATTCGATGGTCTTCATCCAAGAGCAGATTTAATATGTTCAGCACATCATGGCAAAGAAAGACACACTATGAGCTGTGATTTGAATCTGGCTCAAGCGTCTTCAGAAAGGAAGTCTCAGTCATCAATACAAAACCAATTCAACCAATGGACAACATCAGCTGGCTTTTGTCTCTCCAAATACATTGCAGCATTTAGTTTGATACATAAAAAGAAATTACACCAAAAAAAAAAAATCAACTTCAATTTGCTTCTTGACAGAAGAATAAACGCCCGAGTTTTCTTCAACAGAACTGAAAGACAAATACAAAGAGACACCCCAATCAGACCCAATGCAGAGAAACCTGAAACAGTCAGAAACAGATCCGACTGTCACCTGGCCCTAAACAGACACTATGAATCTCAGCACCTCAGAAATCAGAGGCAGAAGCTCAGTGGAAAAAAATCAAAGTGCACACCTGCAGTGGAAAAACACACCACAGAGCTAACAAACAAATGCAGATCTGGTAACTCAAATCTTTTCGCTTTGAGCAGCTTGAGGCAGCTGCTGTTGCGATTTGGCATTTTATAAATGAAAATGAATTGAACTGAAGCTTTGCTCTTCTCATAAATCACCTGCTTCTCCATTTAGTTGCTTCACTTTGACCTGAGTCACACAGCTAAATCAGCTAAGTCGGGGTGAGAGGGTATGGTAAGATCAGAAGGTCAGGTAAAGAAGGTTAGCATGCAGATAGAGCTGAGAGGAAGAGGGGGAAGCTGTAATTCAGCCTCTGCTGCCACCATCTGGAGGCAGAAACTGCATACCTGAGCTCAAACATTCAAAGCAACAGACAGTGCACAAGACAAGTGAACAAAAGCTCCACAAAAGAGGAAGACTTCAGAGAGGATTCATGGATGTACTGAAGGAAGGAGGGTGGGTGTGACTGCTGTGTAGACCTCTAAGAAGGGTGATGAGAAAGAGGGTAGGTCGATTAGCTATTTATCAAATATTTGCAGAAGAGAAACTTTTATATGGCCCTAAATATTTCCAAGACTGTAAAAAAATCTGTAACACTGATCAGTGTCAACGCCAGTCCACGTGTCCTGTGTATTTCTCAGAGTCAGGGGCCTTACCTTCCATCGGTTGCCGCAGTCGTTACACAAAACAAAAGTGGTCATGGGCTCATCAGCGCTGCGGGTCTGCACCTGAACACGAGAATGAGGTGGTGAAAACTGGTCAGAGAACAGTGACCATCAGCCTGAAGATGTGCTCATACCTGTGTGTACGTGCAGCTCTTTCCATGACACTTGCTGCAGATAAACATGTCCGTCTCAGTTCCTCCGACCTTGGAAAGCTGATGCTGTCTGATCGACTCTTTTGTCAGAGCCTCTCTCATCTGCTTCAGCTCTGCACTCGCCATTTCCTGCGCGTGCACACACACACACACACACACACACACACACACACACACACTTGAACTGCTTCCTTCGACCCACTGACTCCACTCCTTTTTGTAGTTATCCAGTTTACATTCATACAAACCACCGCTGCACAAATGGGGATTCTTACCGTTTCACTCTATAAGCTCAGTGGGCTCTTGACCTCATCTCACTAACGTGAAACTAAAACAAATTACTTCCCATTTAGACTTTCAGAATAAAACAATATTAGGCCTATAAATATTTTGCCAGAGACAACTTTTTTCTAATTTAGGCTCTGTAAATCACCACAATCAATTTAAAATGAAACAACTGAGATGCAGGTGAAGTGCAGACTTTCAGTTTAATTCAATGGTTTGAACAAAAAGATTGCATAAATGTGAGGAACTAAAGCATTTTAATGCAATCAAACACAAAACAGAAAAGTAATCGGACAAATTACATATAATAAAGTGTTCATTTCTTATACTTGGTTGAAGACCCTCTGCCTGAAGTCTTGGACATCACCAGATGCTGCTTTTTAACGCTCTGCAGACCTTTACTGCAGCAACTTTCACTTCCTGCTTGTGGGCCTTTCTGTCTGACTCCAACCAGTGAAACGCTCAGTTGGGCTAAGATCAGCTGACTGACTTGGCCCTTGAAGAATCTCCCAATAAACTCCTGGCTGTGTGTTTCGGGTCATCTGTATTATGAAACACACCGACTGACTGCACGTAGACAGTCTGTCTCTGAACACCTCAGGAGTTCGTTCTGCTGCTTCGGTCACATCATCATAAACACTCATATCTAGGGATGGGTATTGATAAGATTTTCACGATTCCAATTCCATTTTCGATTCTGTTTAACGATTCGATTCTTTATCGATTCTTTTTAAAAAAGGAGAACACTAAGGTCGATTAGCTTAGAACTTTGTTTTATATCTTCTCTTTGAACAAGATAGAAATTTAGGAGTAACATGGCCTTACAAACCCAACAGTGAGATCTTAAGAGATCCAGCCTACGGCTCTTCAATGGGGTGTCACAGGGTCCCCAGGAAAAAAAATTGTAAATGTAAAATAATAAAATAAATATTCTTCTGTAGCAATAACAAAGTATAACATAAATTATTCTGTAGCAATTACACAAGAATATCCAGTAATGTCCCTGCCTACAATTAAACACATTCACTTACTGAAAATCATCTGCTGTGGCAAACGGGTGCAAGCCTTTGACCACAAACTGAGTCACTGCTCGGTGACATTCGTCTATCCTGGCCTGAAAGGAGACGCTACCGGCAGACTGCAGCGAGAACTGCCAGCATCTGAGCCAGACTCTGTCTCATCATGGTCACCTAAATGCACAGTAATGGCAGGTTTGTAATAAGGCAGATCGCGCTAACATAATATGCACTGTTAGTTGATTATTTACCTGCCGCATTAACGGGAGAGGACGTGCAAACGTTACCGCTGCTGCTGGGTTGAGATTCACGAGTCCGGAGCGGAATTAAAAACACGACATTCATTTAAGGTCATCGCGTGTTTTGTGAGCAAATGCTTTTGCATATTCGTAGTGTTTCCTCCCTTAAATGAAATATCTACTTTGCAAGTATTGCAAGTTGCCCTGTTGTCATCCGTTCTCGTAAAGTATAACCAAACTTTTGAGCGTTTGAGCGCCGTGTTTCCTGCCAGGTAAATGACGCTCCGCAACGTGGTGACGTCATTCGGGGCGACTGGAATCGATAAGGGAATCGTTTGCAAAAATGGCAAACGATTCCAAGGAATTGAAACAGTGGGAACCGGTTCTCAACAAGAACCGGGTTTCGATACCCATCCCTACTCGTGTCCCAGTGCCACTGGCAGCCATGCACGTCCAAACCATCACACTACCTCCACCGTGTGTTACAGATGATGCTGTATGCTTTGGATCACGAGCTGTTCCACGCCTTCTCCATACTTTTCTCTTGATCTTGGCCTCATCTGTCCAAAGAATGTTTTCCCAGAGCTGTGCCGGCGTTTTTAGATGTTTGTAGCCGATCGAGCCTTTCTATTCTCGGGGCTTATGAATGGTTGCACCCTGCAGTGAACCCTCTGTGCTTTCTGTCATACAGTCTGCTCTTTATGCTGCACTTGGGTATCGACACGCCTTCCTCCTGGAGAGTGTTGTTCCCTTGGCTGACGTTGTGAAGAGGTTTCTCTGCACCGTGATTCTGCGAGCATCCACCACCGTTGTCTTCCATGGACGTCCAGGTCTTTTTGCCTTGCTGAGTTCACCAGTGCTCGCTTTCTTTCTCAGGGTGATTTTGTCACTCCTAATATTGCAGCAATTTCTCAGACGGTTTGTCTTTGTTTGCTTCAGAGCTGCTTTGACTGCATGATGTCTGTTCACAGCAAAATCTTCCAAATGCAAGAACCAAACATCAAATAAAATCTTTAATCTTCTTCACTGATGATGACATGACGAAGGAATTGCCCACACCAGGGGTCAGTAACCTTTAACACCCAAAGAGCCATTTGGACCCAGTTTCCACGCAAAAGAAAACACTGGGAGCCGCAAATACTTTTTGACATCTAAAATGAAGATAACACTGCATATATTGGTTTTTTTTTTTACCTTTATGCTTCAACTAAGGTGTGTTGCTTATGAATCCATGAAGTGGTATGGAGAAAATTACATTTAATTATGTAATTAACACATTTTGAACTTTTAAAGAAATATAACAAAAGGAAACACCCAGCTGAACTAAAGTGATCCAGCAAACAAAAACTGTGAGCCGCCACCCTCATATCACCTTTGGGCTTTTGGAGCCTTGACCTGACTTTGGAAAAAAGCACTATGCTGCTAAAAAATATGAAAAATAAATATTTGCAAAATTCTGCCTACATATGCATTTTACCAGGTTAATGGGTGTGGCGGGGCGTGGTCTGCAGTGCCGCTGCAGAGGAGGCAGACGCACCTGGGAATCACCCGCAAATCACGCCTCGCCGCCTTAACGTCTGTGCTATCCGTGCTGCTGTGTTGGTATGTGTTGGGCTGTGAGCTTTAACACCGACTGTATGCGTACAGCAACCGTGTGTGAAAAGTGGTCAATAAAGAGATGCTGAAAAGCGTGTTCATGCAAACATCGTCGGATCTGCCGTGATATGTTTACAACGGGACTTCTGCTCCTGAACCTCTGCACACAGCGTCTGCAAATCGGGGCTTTCATCTTTACGCAGGACTGTAAGCTGTCGTCTGTGAGGCGTGAGCGGTGTTTGTTTTTAACATAGTTCACAGTGGAGAACAGCTGCCGACATAATGTGGATCCGAAGATCCATAACTGGCCTACCTGGGGTTGAAAGTCTCGATGCACGGCGTTTCTGCGGGTACACCGGCTTCCGCGAGTGTGACGCTTATTTTGAGTGATGAAAAATAATAAAATATAATTTTATTTCTTATATTTCAATATCACAATAACCTTCCAATTTAGAACTACAAGTTAAAAAAAAGAACTAAATACAAATAAAACACACTTCAGCTAAATACTTCTAATTTATTTTCCCAAACCACCCAGAGCCGCAGTACAAGGACTAAAGAGCTGCAGGTTGCCGACCCCTGGCCCACACCATCCATCGGCCTTTCAGACGATTGTCCGATTACTTTTGGTCCCTTTAAATAGAGGGTGGCACATGTTAAAGAGCTGAAACTCTTAAATCCTTCATCCAGTTTCAATGTGGATACCCTCGAATGAAAGCTGAGAGTCTGCACATTATGTCCTTTATACAACTAAAAAACAGGTTAAAAAAAACAAAAAAACCTTGTGTCAGTGTCCAAATATATATGAATGTAACTGTAGAAGTAATAAAGGGTTATACAGTTACACTGCACTGTATCGTGAAACTCGCCCCTGACCCCTATTTAAAGAGGAAGACGCACTGACCTCAGCAGTCATACAGGCGATGCGATGTGGCGAGATGTTTCCACACAGTACGTTGCGGCGCAGTTCTGGGTTCTTCTGGTCTTTCAGGTTGGAGATTCGACTTCGTAGACGGGTTTTATATTTCATGTCTGTCGACTTAAACTCCTGGAAGATCTGTGCACACGGCGAGCCGTCAAGGATCAAGAGTGTGTGCGAAATGTGTTGGAACTGGAAAAACGTGCAGAACATTTATTGTAGTGCTGCTGGTGTTCATTAATACTGAAGCTTTTATGTAATCATGAATGAAATCTGCTCCAGTAAAGTGAGATCCTTCCTGTGAGGATGCTCCCGCCGACACTGTTCAGTGGTCAGGTTTCAGCAATAGCAACACGAAAGGATATGTTCTTCGATTTGAGCCGCCAGGTGCTCGCAGTCCACTCTGATGGCCTTGTGGTCATCTAAAACACAAACATTGGTTAGCTTCATGCTTGTAAACAGCACCATAAACACCTGACTATCAACTCTGACAGATTCCAGGTCTTTGTGTAAACAGGAGATTACTGAAACACAGATTCCTCATTTAGACAGTGATACGATCAGATTAATCTGATCAAGGCAGGGTTCAGAGTCTGAAAAGATCCAGACTTCATTATCTTCTCACCGTCCGTCTGCAGCGCCGCTACCAGCAGCTCTCGACTCTTGCTTCTCACGCAGCCCATGGTTACGGGGGCAGGGGGGAAGGAGGTGACCTGAGAAAGGGTGGTGGTAGTTGGGGAAGTGGGGGTGGACGGGGCCCCCTCAGAAGATTTACTGCTGAGGAGGAGGAGAGAGGAAGAGTTCTTATTTGACTGAAACTTTCTCCTGATCGCAAACATGTAAACAAGCTGACGCCGCCGCCAGTATGCAACAGACCCTTTTTCACTGCTGCCATAATCCTTGGAGGTGGATGAAGACCTCACCGGAGAGCCGTCCTTTTTCTTCTCCTCTGAACCCTCTGTCAGATAAAAACTAACAAATGACTGCAGCCATAATTCTACTTCCTGTTTGTACACTCGGGATTACGGTTTCTAACACTTGATGATGCAACTTAAATCATGCGAACTGACAACAGTCACCTGGAGACACATTATGTGTCACGTTTCGGTTTTTCTTTACCCACCCAGCAGTTTCTTCCAGGACTTGATGAGAGTTTTGGCTAAAGTCTGAACTTCTTCGTCTGAACTTTGTTTTCTCACAGCGTTCACCGACATACCCACTCTGGTAGACTACACACACACACACACACACACACACGTTTCTGCAGCGCTTTAAATGAAAACATTCACAGCAATGATAAATGGATTTGGTCTAGTGTATTCATAAACCTCGTGGACTTTAATGTCACCGGTGTGTTACTGCACACTGAAAGTCATAAACACCGAGTCCTGTGTTACCTTCAGTTCAGTTAAATCAGACACGCAAGTGAATTTCAGGCTTTTTCGTATCACCATATTGTTTGTGGAGTTGCTCACCTGCAGTGTCTCCAGAGACATGTTGATGTTCTTCAGTTCTCTCAGCAGGTCCAGAGCACTGTCCTATAAACAGAACCACCATTTTATTGTACCTAGTCATTTACTAAATAAACGTGTTGTGAAAAACTGTAAGAAGGTTTCTGTCTGAATGTTAAAAAACTTAAAGTTTTTCAGTAAAGCTTCACATTTGAATCTCGAGTCCTCACTAAGACCAAAGAAAGTGGACCACATCAGTCCAGCTCCGAGGTCTTTACACTGGCTGCCTGTCCGTCAGAGGATAGACTTTAAAGTCCTGATGCTGGTCTATAAAGCTCTGAATGGTTTAGGACCAAAATACATCAGTGACCTCCTGACCCAGTATGAACCTTCCAGATCCCTCAGGTCATCTGGATCCGGTCTTTTATCAGTTCCCAGAGTCAGAACCAGACACGGAGAAGCTGCATTCAGCTTTTATGGGGTGGCTGTAGCTCAGGTGGCAGAGCAGGTCAGCCACTAATCAGAAGGTCGGTGGTTCGATCCCAGGCTGCATGCCAAATATCCTTGGGCAAGATACTAACCCATCGTTTGCCTTCTGGTGGTGGTAGAGGGCCGGGTGGCGCCAGTGTCCGGCAGCCTCGCCTCTGTCAGTGCGCCCCAGGGGCGCTGTGGCTACAATGTAGCTTGCCATCGCCAGTGTGTGAATGGTGGAATGACTGATGTAGTGTAAAGCGCTTTGGGGTCCTAGGGACTAGAAAGCGCTATACAAACAGCAGGAGAGCTCATTTAGCTTTTATGCTCCTTATATCTGGAACAAACTCCCAGAAAGCCTCAGATCAGCTGAAACACTCAGTTTATTTAAATCCAGGTTGAAGACTCACCTGTTCTCAGCTGCATTTGAATAAAGCACCAAATCCACACTTTTAAGCTTAAATTTCAAAACTTACATTTTAACTACTGATTTTATCTATTGTTCTGATTTTATCTGTTTTGATTTTATATACTGTTTTGTTTGTTTGTTAATTAGTTTGTTTGCTTGTTTTAATCAATTTTAAATCATGCTTTTTATTTGTTTTTGTTTCTAATGTCTCTGTGAAGCACTTTGAATCACCTTGTTGTTGAATTGTGCTATACAAATAAACTCGCCTTGCCTTTGTGCAATACTATTTTTCTTTGGTCAGCACACCTTTACATTCAGGTGGAATAAAAACACAGCTAATATTTCTTTTATCTTTTACCTCTTTGATAACAAACAAAGTTTCACCAAGAACTCGAGGAGCTGCATGACAAGACGACAGACAAACAGAAGAAAGTTCAGTACAGTCAAAGAGCGCAAGTTAAGCAAAAGAGAGTAACAGCAGAAAGCAGGACAAGACTGCTCAAAGAAGTCCTGCCATTAATTAATGCTTCGATCTTAAATATGATCAACCTATCTCTAATAATCAGCTATGTACCACAGGCCTTCAAGCTGGCTGTAGTTAAACCTTTACTCAAAAAGCATCTCTAGACCCAGCAGTCTTAGCTAATTATAGGCCAATCTCCAACCTTCCTTTATATCAAACATCCTTGAAAGAGTAGTTGTCAAACAGCTAACAGATCATCTGCAGAGGAATGGCTTATTTGAAGAGTTTCAGTCAGGTTTCAGAGCTCATCACAGCACAGAAACAGTATCAAGCCTACAGCCTCTCCGTCAGTCCAGCCTCAGAGGTCTGTCTGCATCATGCTGCAGACGTTGGTCACATTTGGAGTTCAGGAAACTACAGTTTGAATATTTTGTGCCATGTAATGACATCACTAATCACCTGACTGCAGGTGATGAGCTCTGAGCTGATTCCAGGTGTGTCCGTTTGAAATCTGAACTGTGTCATGATTTCAAAGTGTTACCTTCCTCGCTCACCATCACCTGTCGGCTGCTTTCACTCACCGTGCTCTTCTTCTGCACCATTTTATCCAACTTTCTGGCGATGCGCTCCACTTCCTGATCCTTCACCATGTCTGCGGCTGCCTCTGCGTCACTGCCCTGCGGAGGAAAGCTCCATGGATGGAGCGCAAACTCTTCTCCGTCCTCTTCTTTCCTCTCACGGCCGGTCGTTGTGTGCGAGGCATTTTGGGAGATGGAGTCTTCTTGTCTCTCCAGGTTAAAGTTCTTCTTCTTTTTCTTACTTTTATTGGCGGTTGGCAAAAAACAAAACGGCGCATTACCGCCTCCAACTGGTGTGGAGTGTGAACTGGACCGTCGCTCAAAAAAACCCCAAACAAACAAATTCTCCCGAGCGATTTACCCTCTTTTACAAACTGGAATAAGGCCTGATAACTTTCACTTCATGGGTCCTTTTGCAGTAAATCAATAAGATCCAGTTTCATTTGCATATCACTGAGGTTTCCTTCATTTCTTGCCTTACCATACTCGTTATCTCTGTCTGACAGAGGCTAATACCCAGGTCCACTACCCCATGCTTTGTGGCTTCCTTTGCAGCTCTGTCTGCCATTTCATTTCATCCAACCACAATCCAAGAAACTTAAATTTACTCTCTCTTTCTAACTCCTGACCGTATAACTTAAGCTTGAATTCCTCTTCAACTCTTTTTCTCGTAAAATCATTGCCTTGGTCTTATAAACCGAAAATTTAAAACCCTGTTTATACGACCACTCTTCAACTTTTCCAGTTGCCCCCTGTAGTTTCTTTACAATAAACATTTTTATTGTAAAGAATAAAAATGTTTTCCCTCTCTTCCCTATCGCTCCATCAAAGTGAAACCCCCATCCCACCCTGTATGTCATTAAACACATGATTTATCATTAAAGGAAATAACAAAGGCCTCACTCTGCTCCCTTTGATGTGTACTGTTTTCTACGGGAAACCTCTCCGAGTGTATCTTCCCAATTCTCACTTGTATTTATCTTCCCCTTAATAAATCCTTTATCATCTGAACATCCACTGATACCCGGTTTCCTGACTTTGAGGCCTTTGAGGCCTTCTCTCCACATCGTGTCGAAGGCTTTTTCCATGTCAGCAAACACCTCAACTACACTCCCTTTGTTTATTTGTGCTTTCCTGACTTCATGTTCCAAAGACAATATGGATCCTCTTCTGAAAGCACTTTGATGTTTACAGGGAGTGCAGAATTATTAGGCAAGTTGTATTTCTGAGGAATAATTTTATTATTGAACAACAACCATGTTCTCAATGAACCCAAAAAACTCATTAATATCAAAGCTGAATGTTTTTGGAAGTAGTTTTTAGTTGGAAGAGAGATTGAGAAAGATGTGAGAGAGGAACAGAGAGAGAGAGAGAGAGGACAGAGAGAGAGAGAGAGAGAGAGAGAGAGAGAGAGAACAGAGAGAGAGAGAGGAGAGAGAGGAACAGAGAGAGGAACAGAGAGAGAGAGAGAGAGAGAGAGAGAGAGAGAGGAACAGAGAGAGAGAGAGAGAGAGAGAGAGAGAACAGAGAGAGAGAGAGAGAGAGGAAGAGATGAGAGAGAGAGAGAGAGAGAGAGAGAGAGAGAGGAGAGAGAAAGAACAGAGAGAGAGAGAGAGAGAGAGAGAACGAGAGAGAGCAGAGAGAGAGAGAGGAAGAGAGAGAGAGAGAGAGAGGAACAGAGAGAGAGAGAGAGAGAGAGAGAGAGCAGAGAGAGAGAGAGAGAGAGAGAGGAACAGAGAGAGGAACAGAGAAGGAACAAGAGCAGGTGAGACACACATGTTAGTCAAATGGTTGTTTACCAAAAGTATCACCGTATCACAGGTCCTCATGTATCTCGTACCTAGGCCCTGTGCTTCGTACGTCGCTTACTACATCCAAGATCAAATCATCGCGCTAACCGTGAGCTCGCTAATCCGGTTCTCCGAACACACCTGCTGTTGACGATCAGTACAGCTGGATGAAGTAATGTGAGATCACTGGGTGTCGTAAAAGGGGCTACGCATCGATAGTAGAAACATTGATCGGCAACCCTCTGATTGGTCGGCGAAAATGTCGAAGGAGCGCGCTCGGTATTTTTCGGCAGCAGAGCAAGAACTCTTGATGAGGGATTTCAGGAGTTTCAGAGTTTAATTAAAACGCAAGGGAACACTGCAAAGGCTGCAAAAGCAAGGAGAGAGGGCTGGCAGAAAGTTGCTGACAAATTAAACTCGTAAGTAATTTAATAATAATAATAATAATGGATTGGATTTATATAGCGCTTTTCAAGGCACCCAAAGCGCTTTACAATGCCACTATTCATTCACTCTCACATTCACACACTGGTGGAGGCAGCTACAGTTGTAGCCACAGCTGCCCTGGGGCAGACTGACAGAAGCCAGGCTGCCATATCGCGCCATCGGCCCCTCTGGCCAACACCAGTAGGCGGTAGGGTAAATTTATTATATTACTTATATATTACATTATATCCTCTTTCACATTAGAGCCACAACAGGACCCACTAGAACATGGGAACAAGTAAAAGTGAAATATAAGAATATTCTACAGAATGGTAATATTTATCACTTATATTGCTTTTCGTCTCTTGGAAAGAGACCCTGAAATAATCTGTTTGTTTGTTCATAACAGCAACCAAGAAAAGGGCAGAGAAAAAAAGACAGGTGGTGGTCCTGCACCCCCTCGTCAACAAGTTGGTTAAGTAAATAATACCCTCACGGGAAAATCGATATCTCTCAATGAGCACACTGTCGCGCTGAGCTAAAGGATCCTGTCTGTCCCGCAATATACGCTGAATTCTGAAAACTCTCCTTATCAATCTTGCACCTTCCGCAATGGGCGGCTCGCGTAAACGGACAGGACATGGCTGCGACAGGCTTCCCAAATCCACCTTCGCTTTTATAGCCGTGGTCTCTCATCTTGATTACACGAAGTAATTTACAATTACTACTCTGAAATATGAATTACATCTGTAATAATCACATACATGTAATAGAATGTTAATAGTACATTTCCCTTTTTTAGGAAATGACCTGTATGTATCTGTGTGACATCAATAAAAGGATCAAGTGCTGCATTATCTTTAGTTACATTGATGTTATTTATTTATGGTGAAACAGTGGTGGAATATCGCTGTTGCTTTCGTATAAATGACGCGGGCATACCTGCGTGGCCGCGATCTAATCCTGTTTACATAAAGTAAACCTGCTCCCCAGCAGGTTTACGCTTACGGCTCTGTTGCTATGACAGCAAGTCCCGGATGGGCTTCGGGGAACCGAACGATCCAGGATCACGCGAAATCGTCAACAATCTCATCCAGCTAACTCACTTAGCG